AGAATGTAGGGCTGTCCCTGATGCTTGTGATGTTTCTATCAACTCTTTAGTTAGCTTCTAGCAACTTTGTAATGTCATGTAACCATTTCTAATGAATGTCCTGAACTCAGCAAGCTAAGCTTTAGTTCAGTTTACTCAGTCTGAGGTTATAAAATCCTGCACATAACACAGAGCAGCACTTATACATGGTTATTCAATAAATAAAATTACTAATAAATCCAACATGTTTCTAGTCTGCAAGCTACATAAACAGAGTTGCCACCCACGCTAAATTCATTTATAACGCTCTACTATGACATGGGTGGCAGTCAGATCTACGTTTCTGTATCCAAACATTTAATCACGTGATAGTTAAACAGACAAGCATTTGTCTAACTTCACCAGGCGCGTTTAACTGCTGAACAACCTAAAACCTGATTTATGTTTCACCATCAGCTCAAGTGTGCTGTCACGCACGCGCATTGACACCACGATCGTGTATTAATTATTGAGTGTTCATGTATCGGAGAGACTTTTTAACACACATTTGTTCCTCCTTCTCCACCTCGTCATGCAGTCACCTCCTCTAAAGTCACGTTTGCCATCATTTCCTTTACAAATAAAAGCTTTGCAGCGTGCCTCTGTGCTCCTTCAGTCGCGGGTGTTTATATTGTCGGACTTTTCCGCCAGACACTCTTAAATCAGCTCCGCGCCTGCCGTGATGGTGGCGCTGTTGACGATCGTGTCTCTTTACCCACGCAGATGGACAAGTATAAATCATGTTCTTCAAAACAGTTGTAGCGTTAGGAAGTATAATGGTCTGCCCTTAACAGCTGCCCCTTCACACAATTTCCATCACCAAGGTCGGACGCTTGGTTCAGTATGTTTACATTCCAGGAGAAGAGACAGAAGAACAGAAGAAGAACGTTTTTCATTGATTAATCAAAGTACTTTATTTGTGATAAGCTAATCAAAGCATTTGTTGATCATTAATAATCAAGTGAATGATCTGTGAAATAAAGATGTCATGAGTTATGTGTTTAAATGAATAAACAGGGCTGCACCAGTCACACTGATATGCATTACCATGGAAACGCATGACACATTGTTTTCAACCAATCAGAACTTTCGTCTGTGGTAGGGCAGAATCTGGTTTGTTTATGAAAGTAGTCCAATCCGGTTTACTAAGATTCTTAAACAAATGGGAGATATAAAAAGAAGGCAACGCCATTTTAAGTCAGTTCCACGTTACGTTCGACTTTCAGCAGTTACGTATTAAACTCAGCTCCAGGACATCCGAGTTCCTAAGGATTTCCATCGTCATCATTAAGAAGTTCAGACTGGCCAGCTGGACTTCCTACTTTGAGCTGAAATCTGTCAAGCTTGAGATTTTCCGTCATTTATACCAACGAGACGACGGTCCTTCAAAATAAGAGTGAACTTGTTGACGCCTGCCGATGCTACCTGAGTCGACCCTTCAGACGGGCATTGTGTGCTGTGACCGCTGTTTCAACCAGCTCCAGTATCGCTGAAGGTCCGAGACCTGGCAATTCCTGATCTAACACGGGAGGCTCCACTGGGTACGTAAATACGGCAAATGGCGGCTCATGTCATCAGCTTCTGAAGCCTCGTGGTAGCCTAGTCAAAACAACCAGATTCGCTACTCAGCCTAGAGATTCTAAACAAAACACACACACACACACACCAAACCGAACCATCTACATCCATATGCATCCATCATTGAGATAGTCCTGGTAGATTGTAAGAATTTATAATTATAGAAATGAAAGATTCTTAAACGATCCCAACTTTCTCTCTTTCTTGTCTCTCAGTCAATACAAAGTGTTGAAGTAAACTCCCTGATGATCAAAACAACCACTTCTGATTGATTACTTAGATTGTATAAATATACAGGATCAGGTAATTAAATTATTTAATTACAGTATATAAATATGCACTTCTAATCACAACATTACATTACACAATGTTCTTAAAATTCACAACGAATATTAAGGGAGAAAACGGGAACAAACAGGCGTATGTGCAGCTTTTGACCGGGAAACACATTTCAGCATAACACCAGCGTGTTTCACTTCCTGCATCGTGTTTGTGAAGCTGAAAGCTGAAAAGACATGTTGCAGAGCAAACAAACCACAGTTTTATCCCACATTTTAGACAAGATTGCTCGTTGAAAACATTTCGAGCGGCTGAGTTTCCTCCAAACCGATGCGTTGCTGCGGTTTGGGCGTCCATGACTGGTTACTGAAGCGGAAAGCGCGCAACGGAACCAATGCATTCTAGTGGCCTAGACTAGAAATGGGTTGCTACTTTTGTTGAAAGATTTCAGAAAAGAAAAGATAAATTGCTTAAAAAAACATTTTCTAGTCCAAATGTTGGCGTGCAGTAACTGTCGTAGTCGACTAATCCTGAATTTTCAATGTTCAAACGTTCTGTTCCATCCCCACTGCTAAAGCACATGTGCAAGAGTGCGCTCCTCTTTCCCCAGTGCTCCAACAAACTCATTTATTTTGTGTTCAGGGGACAGCCTCCCTTGGCTTAAATTACATTTTAGTTCACACAAAGAAAATTATATTAATTTTGTAGTTCTTAATTAAATTTATGAACATCTGACACAATTTGTATGTGTTCTTGGAAAATTCTGCTCCACACCCCTCCTCCCCCCGGTGCTCCAACAAACTTGTTTATTTTGTGTTCAGGGGCCAGCCTCTGTTGGCTTAAAATACATTTTAGTTCACACAAAGAAAATCAAATTACTTTTGTGATAATTAATTAAATTCATGAACAGTTAACACAATATCTATGTGTTCCTTGAAAGAAGGACCTGAATCTGTTTTGTCAACGCTGTAGGTGACATTTTGGACAAAAGCTAACTCTGAACTCCCACAGTGGGGCTAACACCTGCAGAGGTCGTTTGCAGACTTCACCCCTTTATTCTAAAAATTGCAGGAGCTGCAGTGGGCAAGATGCATTGTGGGTAGTCGTGTTTTTGTAAATTTAGTTTGATTCTGGGGTATCTATGCATGTTTACTTTATTTTAATTGTTTTATTTGTGGGGGGGGGGGGGGGGGGGGGGGGCTTAGTTATTACTTTGTTCACTGTTGCAAATGTGATGTTGCTTGTGTCATGCTGGTACCGTAGCTCAGGAGGTTGGCGAAACGAATGGCACCGCTGTACTGTTCCACTGTCACAATAACATAAGTGGTGCATGGTTCACACTAGATGTGCAGGAATTCACTCTTTGTAGTGATGTGTCGGTTGCGAACGAACCGGCTCTAAGAGCCGGCTCTTTGATGTGAACGACGGGAGCCGGCTCGTCATTGTGAGTCCCCCCCCCCCCCCCCCCCCCCCCCCCGCCTTGGTGAAAGCTACAGGCGATTGGTCATCATGTGTAACTGTGTATCCAGACTGTCCACACACAGAGCAGTAGGGGCGGGGAAGAGGGAGGATCATACTCAGACAGACACACAGAAGAGCACATGCGGGTGGAGGGAGACGAGAGGGAATGAGGAGGAGGAAAAAGGAGAGGGAGGAGCTTGCGACGAAGACGGTGAGAAAATGAGCGCCAGCAGTCGGAAAGTGGAGATTTCTTAAAGTGTTCAGTTATTAAATCCATAGAAATGATAAATATTTGATATATAGCTTTTTTTACATTAGTAAATTATTTTACATATAGTTTAGCATTATTTTGGTTATAAATGTACTCTACGCAACAGAAAATCTGAGGAACCACTTGGGAGCCTTTTTGGTGAGCTGAGCCAAAAGAACCGACTCTCTAAAAAGAGCCAGAATTACCATCACTAACTCTTTGAGTTCCTCTCTAATTTGATTTTTCAAAGTCAGGAGATGTTTGAGGGCACTATGAGCCAGCGCTTTAACTCTCTTGAGACCTGGCACTTTAACTCTGATTTAGTGTCAAAAAGCAGCTCCTCTGAAAGTAAATATCTGACACTGGTGTAGGAGGTGAGATAGCAGCTCAGCGCAAAATTACCTGTAACAAATTAGTGTTACAGGTAATTTTGTCCAAAGAACTACTTTACTTTTAACTTGATTGAACTATAAGGCGTAACCAATGTGAGAAATTGAGTTGAAATTGACTGAAATATAACGTTAAACTAAATTAAATATTAAGTTGAACTGGAGTAACAATAAGTTCGTCTTTGAAAAAATTGATAGATTTTAGTTTGTTTCAATGCACTTGTGTGATTGTGGAAGATTTCATTAGTCTGGTTATATTGAAATAAAAAGAAACTTTCAGTCACATTAGAAAGATCATTTCATCAAAACTAAAAAAATAAATAAAATAGCTGTAACAAATGAGCATAATTTTTTATATCTGGTTTAAAGTAACATTTTTTTATGTGTACTTTCCGTACCCATTGTGCACGACTAATCCTTTTGCCAGAAAAACTCTAACATGTTAAACGGTTGAACTTTGTGCTGTGGCATATAAAACTAAAGGTTATGAAAAACTGATATTTTATTATTTGTAGACAGCGTTTTGAACAGCCAAAGCTCGTTAATCTAATAAGAATAATCTGCATTCCTCCAAACTTATGGCTCACTGGGCCAAGACAAAAGGGGGTTGTAGAAGTCTTAGAACAACCTCAATTGTTTTATACAAATTCATGCCAATGTTGTTTTATAAAACATTTACTTAGTCTTGCATTTTGTATTTTACTATTATTTGCATAAAATCATTGGTAATTTGTAAATACACATTTCTACGGTTAACTATAGCACTTATGGTGAAGCCTGTGGCACTTTATGTCACAAAATCATAGCATTTTAGCTGGAATAGCCACATAATGTGATGCTGACAGTGAAATAGCAGTCTCATGAACTTCCATGATGTTTTTGAAACATTTAAGGATGACATCAGCCAGCGTTGGCCTCAGCTAGGCTCAGGATAGCCATTATCTCTAGATGAAAAATCTCCATTCTATGAAATAATTCAGTTGTGTTGACATGTATTTTGACCATGTGCTTGTCTGTTCCCTCAGGTATGCGCATCCTGGTGACCCTGCTGTTGGACACGCTGCCCATGCTCGGTAACGTGCTGCTGCTCTGCTTCTTTGTCTTCTTCATATTTGGCATAGTTGGTGTCCAGCTGTGGGCTGGCCTTCTCAGAAACCGTTGCTTCGTCAAAGACAACTTCTCCTTGTGAGTGCCCCTCTGTATTTGTTCCAGCTGTGTGTATTTCTTTGTCTGTTTGCAAAGACTTTAGATACTGTAGTCACTCGGTATTATTTCAAATCATATTGGTTGCAATGACGCCCCCGAGGGGAGGCCAGGGGTGGCCATGAAAATTGCTGCCCCCCAGGAAAAGCCAATATTAATAAATCATATTATTGTTCACTCAAACCATAAATTGTCGTCATCGTCGTTGTCTTCCTCCGCTTATCCGGGTCGCGGGGGCAGCATCCCAACTAAAGTCAAAGTCATTTATTGTTATTTCTACCACATTTGCAGGACATACAGAGAAACGAAATTGAGTTTCAGTTCACACAATTCAAAGATCAGACATATGTGGGTAAGACACATGACAAGAATTGGTGACTGCGGTCATTCACAACATGAGTCGCGCTACTTTAATAGATAGATGAAAAGGGTGTTACATGAGGATAAGTGGGGGTAGGTAAAAAAAGGCATAGCAGAGTTAGACCCAGCGGGGAGTAACTCTATTATACAAAAAAACTCCTTTAACATGGAAGCACAAACAGCACAGATACAACATCAGAGTCCGATGGGGAGGCGGGGTTGGGCGGGATCCTGAAGCCTCCAATGGGAGCTGCCACTGCGGCGCATCGACCAGCTGCAGACCAACAGGTGGGAGGGAGAGATAAGGACCAGAGAGCACATTGAAGTTTCCCGCAGACGTCTCAATCTGAAGGAAGAGGGTGAAGGTTGGGACACAGCATCTGTCGGCATTCCTCCTTTCGTGGGGGTGTGTTGAAGCAGCCTTGAGAGGCTGCTATGGCGTCAGATAAGGATAAACATGACTTTGTTTGGGGCAGGCAGAGATAATTTTCCTCTCCGCCTTGGAGTCTCTAAGTGGTCATTCATGTCCACCAGTGAAGCCAATTTTATGTTCTAAATATCCTCACATCATCCGGCGACCCTCTCCAAGATCATATCCATCTTGCGTACTATCACAGGCAATGCCGCGAGGACATTATCCAGCTTGCGGTTCACCTCGAGTAACGTCCCAGTTTGTGAGGTCACCGCACGAGCGGCACATTCCGTGGGCATGGGTCGCACTCCAATCGCTCCCGGCTTCCCAAATTTCCAGAAAACCAGATATCCTCCCACTCCAATCAGAAGAAATCCAGTGATCATCAGGCCGAACATCCACAGATCTTCCACGTCCTCGATGGACAGCTGAGAGAGGCACACGATTCGCCAGACCTCCCAAGAATTGGGTGCATATCCCGATGCGAATGTCCCCTCGGGACAGGTGGGAGCCCCCTTCTTCGTTCTCATCGTAGAAAAAATGTTGTCAATCGCGTTGAATGACCAGTTAATTAAGTCCATATTTCCAAAAAAGAGTAGTGGTTTCAGGAGAAATGCAGAGAAGTGCTCTGTAGGCAGACGGGACAAGAGCCTTGGGGAAGCCGATAAGGGAGCTGAGAAAAAAGCGTCTGTACTCTCTGAAGGCTGAGAAGAGAAGAGAAGAGCTCCAGACCGTCCTCTCCCCGGCCTTCACCACCAGCTCCTCCGGCAGGACCCCAAGGCGTTCCCGGACCAGATTGGAGATGTAACCTCTCCAACGTGTCCTGGGTCGACCCGGGGGCCTCCTGCCGGCAGGACATGCCCGAAACACCTCCCCGGGGAGGCGTCCAGGAGGCATCCTGACCAGATGCCCAAACCACCTCAACTGGCTCCTTTCGATCCAGAGGAGCAGCAGTTCTACTCCGAGTCCCTCCTGAATGTCTGAGCTCCTCACCCTATCTCTAAGTCTGAGCCTGGCCACCCTACGGAGGAAACTCATTTTGGCCGCTTGTATCCGCAATCTCGTTCTTTCGGTCATTACCTAAAGCTCATGACCGATGATTGGGACGTAGATCGACCGGTAAATTGAGAGCCTGGCTTTCTGGCTCAGCTCCCTCTTCACCACGACAGATTGTTTCAGCGTCCGCATCACTGCAGACGCTGAACCAATCCACCTGTCGATCTCCCGATCCTTTCTACCCTCACTCGTGAACAAGACCCCGAGGTACTTAAACTCCTCCACTTGAGGTAGAACCTCTCCCCCAACCCGGAGTTGGCAAGCCACCCTTTTCAATCGAGAACCATGGTCTCAGATTTGGAGGTGCTGATCCTCATCCCAGCCGCTTCACACTCGGCCGCGAACCTATCCAGCAAGAGCTGAAGGTCAGAGCTGGATGAAGCTAGGAGGACCACATCATCCGCAAAAAGCAGAGACGAGATTCTCCTGCCACCAAACTCGACACACTCCTCACCACGGCTGTGCCTAGAAATTCTGTCCATAAAGGTAATGAACAGAACCGGTGACAAAGGGCAGCCCTGGCGGAGTCCAACCCTCACCGGGAACAGGTCCGACTTACTACCGGCTATGCGTACCAGACTCACGCTCCTCTGGTAAAGGGACTGAATGGCCCTTAACAGAAAGCCACCCACCCCATACTCCTGGAGCGTCCCCCACAGGGTGCCCCTGGGGACACGGTCATAAGCCTTCTCCAAATCCACAAAACACATGTGGATTGGTTGGACAAACTCCCATGCCCCCTCCATCACCCTTACAAGGGTATAGAGCTGGTCCACAGTTCCCCGGCCAGAACAAAAACCGCATTGCTCCTCCTCAATCTGAGATTCAACTATCGATCGGACCCTCCTCTCCAGTACCTTGGAGTAGACCTTTCCAGGGAGGCTGAGGAGTGTGATCCCCCTATAGTTGAAACACACCCTCAGATCACCCTTCTTAAAGATGGGGACCACCACCCCGGTCTGCCACTCCACAAGAACTGCCCCGATGACCACACAATGTTGCAGCGACGTGTCAACCACGACAGCCCTACAACATCCGTAGCCTTGAGATACCCAGGAAGAACCTCAACCACCCCTCTGGCTCCGCCGCTGTGTAGTTGATTGACTACCTCAGCAACTTCTGCCCCCGAGATTGGACAGTCCATCCCCAGGTCTCCCGGCTCTGGTTCTAAAACTGCAGTGTGGAGACAACATCCTTCAAACCTGAGAGATGTTTAAGCTTGGTTTATGCTTGATGCGTTTACTTTCCGCTTGGTGATGCGGGTCGCAGTTGGAACGTGCTTCACAACTCCCAGCGTTTATGGTTCATGCAGCTTGTCTCTGCGGTGAGTTAATATTCTCCCAAACTGTAGGGGGCAGCATGGAGCTCTACGGCATGTGACCAACACTACACCATAGTAGAAGTAAAAATTACATTTACATTACAATTGTTTACAACATGGCATTCCAGCATTTTTTAACAGTGTCCTCGTCTTTTCCGACAGTGCGAGCTATTTCTCTCCAAGAATTATTAACAACATACTGATCACGGTGATCTTTGAGAGCTGAACCATACAAATGTCTGTATTTACCAACCTCTGCTACTAGTTCTTGCCAGTCCGCCATGTTTTTCCGCGTCCGACCGACCGCATGGTTAGAAAATTTCCTAGGTGCAGAAATTTTGGGCCATGCGGAGGCGGAGTGGAGGGGGCGTGGTTGTTAAAATGACACAATTTTGCCGCGCTGATTGTTGCGAACCTCGCGGACGCGTCAAGCATAAACCAACCTATAGAAGGCTGCTTAAGTTCAAAGTGTAAACGTGACCTGTTGGCAAAAGATGCTGCTGCACTGCAAAATCACCAGACCAGAGTGTGTTTATTTCTGCCCATTGTTTCGAGTGTAAAAGATTACTCAAAGATAAAAAATAAAAAAAGAGGTTTGGCAAATTTGTGAAGAGGATAGCTATCACACAAAGGCTACCTGAGGTAGGCCACCAGTGTGAGACAGTCATCAGTCAGAGTTATATCACCAACCGTTGTAACGCACACCATGACTGGGTCTATTACACGCTCACAATTCTATAATATAGATATTTAACATTTGAGATGTAGCTGTTTACAGTGTATTTTAATTTATTGTGTACTAAGACCTCATAAATGCCAAAGATTTATTAGGGGGAATAAAAATGATCATTTTGACAAAGATGTGTCTGCTCACCAAAGTCATAATGCATGAACTTAAATTACAGATGTGAGGTACCATAAATCCTATAGAGAGTAATGAAACTCGATGACACAGGCAACATGAATAAGTCATGCATGGCCATGTTCCATATACAGTTCAGGAACACGGGCCATGCAGGGTTTCTCATTATTTTAGGACTTGTCTCTTTCCTCCATTCATCACTTCAATGAGATGGTGGATCTGCCAACCTCAGTGACATTGGGTGCATGACCCTGTTCAGAAAGTTCACTCCATAAAGTCACTTTAAAACTGTGTACAGTGGTAGTTTTCACCTGTATCTCTGTGTGTTTGCTGGGTTTTAATAGAAGTGTCAAAAGGTCTTTACCTTACCTTTTAGATATGCAAACATCTACAATTCAGGATGGCTGACACAGCTTAATGTCTTTACTTAAGAAATGTCACTGAAAAAGGGCAGAATCATCTTAAGGGTCATATTACGCAAAACTCAACTTTCTGTGCTGCACTGTGGGTTTCTAGGTGATCACTGTCAGTGTTTGGTTTAGGAAACATGTCAGATCTAAATAAATCCATTTTAACAAGTCCCCTGTGACATCACAATATAGAAAGTTACCACCCCCCCCCCCCCCCCACACACACACACACACACACACACCCACACATACAAAAACTACTCAATGCTCGAGTAGCAATGGCTCTTCTCTGAACCCCTCCCTATCAGAGCGTCTCAGCCCATAACAGCCTAGGATCAGTGATCCCAACTCCCTTCTTGGGGTGGGGGTGGGGGGTATCCAGCATGTTTAACTAGGTGTTTCTCAATGTCAAGGAGCATGGCCTCGCAAGGCGACGTCTTGCGAGGCCATGCTCCTTGCTTATGAGGACACTGTCCTTTGGATCTAAAAAAACATTTCAGATATCAACTTGATAGCTACAATTAGTTGACTTACTTTTAAACTTGAAATTTGTCCCCTAAGTAGCTGCTGGCTTCTGATCTGCCATCCTTTTGAAAATAACACGGTGCATTCTGGTAAATATTTGACCAAGGCTAGGCTACAAGACACCTCCCATGTATCCTTGCTCAGCTAGCTGAGTGGCTAACAAACACACACCTCGGTCAAACATGAACATTGGAACATTGGCGGTTCCTGATGATGTATCTCCTAGGCCACTGGGGCGGGACCAAGATGTCAAGGCGAGGTTCCTTGGCATTGAGAAACACACATTGTTTTCCTTCCTTCAACACACCTGATTATAATCAGCAGGTGATTAATAGTCTTCAGCAGAGCTTGATGAGCTGCTCGACGTGTGAATATTGATTAGGGATTAGGGGCACGACTAAAACATGCTGGATACCGTCCTATGGGGCAGGGAGTTGGGAATCACTGCCTTAAAGCAACAGAGCCCCAAAACGGCTCATCAATACTGAAAACGTGTAGAAATAAAGGATGAAATAACTTTACGTGAAAGAGATTTTTTTGCAAATAACATGTTTTGTGTAGACCATAGATCTAGTAGAACTAAAATAAAAATCACAATATGCCCCCTTAAAATTAACCTACAGATGACTTTATCTGATGTTTTATGAAACTCTTCAACTAACGACAAGCAGGTATTCTCTAGATCAGTGGGTTTCATTCCTGGTTCTGCAGGGCCGGTATGCTGCATGTTTTAGTTTTTAATCCTGCTTCAACACACCTGGTTTCAATGAGCAGGTGATTAACATGCTTCTGCAGAGCCGGATGGATCAAGTGTGTTAGAGCAGAGAAACAAGTCAAACATCCTGGATACTGGCCTCCCAGGCCCAGGATTGCCTGATTTAGACAACATATTTTCAGCGAATCACTTTTCAGACACAATAGGAACATTGTTTCAGTGAGCTATAAGGTGACCAAAACATTTGCTAACTTAGCTATTTTGATCGCAGACACATTCCCAAGCTTCAGTAACAGCTGTAAACAAGATTGGTGGCTTCTTTTATCTTTTTAAAGACTAATTAAGGGTATTTGAGCTCACTCAGTAGGAGGTGTTCTGTTATGCATGGATGCAAACTGAGCTCATCAGGCACATAAGTGTTGTTGCACATCATCCCAAGGTGTAAAATAGCTTTTGAGAAGAAGGGAGTGAGAAGCAGTCTTATAGTGCAGAAACTGGTCTGGTCCAACAATATGTGCCACGCTATGTTGCAATTAATAAAAGCCGCCGGCTGAAGGTGTGCTGACAGATGAGCCAGATAAAACACAATCACCAGACTTATCTGGTTTACTCCAAATGGAGGTGCAGTCTGTGACAGATAGGCCTAAATGGAGCTATGATGGGCAAGTATGTCTTTGCATCTGGCTCAATGCACACAAAGATCCCCCACGTATTTGGCCCCATTTTGTTCAAACACAATCTGGTAAATTACATCTGTCATCTTGAACGAGTGTTAATCAGTAAATTCAGCCTCTCTGGTTCAAGAAGGCATCTAGTACCCACAGACACGGAGCTTCAAGGCTTATCTACTTACAATTCTGTGCAGAAAGGCAGAATCATTGTGTAATAAACTCCAGTGGTCGATCCTTTCAGCTGTTTCCGTCTGACTTAAATCACAGACTGCTGTTTATTAACGCTGGGAAAAGATTGTTCCCTGAAGACATACTTATTCCTGTTTTGTTCTTGAAAACAATAAGGGCTCCAGCTTTGACCAAATACACTGTTGTTCCAGCTTGTTGTTGGAGATGTAGCAGCAGAAAAAATCCCCGTCCTTTGGAGAAGTAGGGGTAGCAGGGGTATGCAATCCTAGTCCATGAGTGCTGCTACCCAGCTTGTTTTAATTATTTCCCTGCTCAAACACACCTAAAACTATCTAGCTAGCAACTCATCAAGCTAGAAGCCTGTTAATCACCAGCTGATTAAATCGGGTGTAATGGAACAGGGAAAAATCTAAAACATGCTGGATAACAGCCCTCTATCAGGATTAGACACCCCTGGTATAATGTGTGTTTGTTTCAGTTGGGATTCTCATACAAACATTGTTTTTTTTTTCTTATCATTGTAAAACTAGGATTGGATTGTTTCACAGAGTTCTGCCATTGTTTATATACAAAGAAAATGCCTTGACTTTTTACATTTTCTATCATTATCTATTTATGATACAACCAGTGGTCTATGGAGGCTATTGTCCAACCACTAATCAATGTTAGCAAACACATAAATGGCTAATGGTCCGTTTCTTTTACAGATATTGACTGAAACAGTTAATCTAAAAGGCTCTCAGTAAACAGCCATTTGGAGGCTAAACATAAGAAAAGAATCGGTGAATTTCTACATAAAACTCTTTTGCTACTGGTTTTTAACGGTGGACATTTGATGTAAAGTCACATAAAATACCACAGATTTTCTTGTTGCAATTTTGTCCTAAAGTGTCCTGACGATATCTATTTGCTGCAGATTTACCTTATAAGTTATCTCGTTTCTAACTCCACTCTAATTTCTGACATTTTTCAAACTTTGACTCAGAAACTAATTTAAAGGGGCCGTGTCATAGAAAATCCACCCAATTTTTTTTTTAGCTTTTTACCACATGCTATTGTTATTTCCTTGTGAAAACTACCCCAAACCCGTTTTTGGCTGCATTTAGACATTTTCTTGTGTCAGCTGCAAATTTAGACTTTTACTTTGAATATTCTAAAAACTACTTGCACCATCAGGCTTGAACTGAGAAAGGTTCAAAATTCTTCTGATATTTGAAAAGTGTTATTCAGGCTTCCAAGGTCGTAGTTCTTTTGACTAAATATTAATAAGATTAAAACAAAAATCTCAGCTTAACCCCTGCATTGTCTTCCTGTCCTTCTGCCGCAGCCCTCTTTCTGTGGAACTTGGAAAATATTTCCACACTGAAAACGATGATGAGAACCCCTTTATATGTTCAATGCCACGAGATAACGGCATGAGGGACTGTGGCTCGATTCCCAAGCTGTACGATGAGGGGGGCCAGCAGTGCAACCTGGACATCGACTCTTACAACAGCACAGACAACACCACTTGTGTCAACTGGAACCAGTACTACACCAACTGCTCCGCTGGCCTCATCAACCCTTTTAAGGGAGCCATCAACTTTGACAATATCTGCTATGCGTGGATTGCCATCTTTCAGGTGAACAGCAAATCCGAGTTTTCTGTGGTGGGTGAAGCTGTGGCTGGGTTGGCTGTTGAACAGTCCTGTGATCAAACAATGCACAGGGAGAGAAAATTACAGAGAAAAGGAGCTTAATTGGTTCTGTAGTTGGTGCATCAGAGGAGCGAGGCTTACAGGATTAACAGGTCACATCTGCACCACCAGACACCAGGCTCAACATTTGTTTGCTGTCTCCACATCATCTGGATGCTAATTTCTTTCACTCTAGCTGGGGGTCATTTTAGAGGCCAAAAGTCAAATTTAAGATGCGTTCTGTCAGAAGTCTGGGTTGTGCTTTACTTAGCGAGAACCTTCAGCTGTTTGCTGGGATTTAAAAACTCTCAATTTGTGTTAAAGTTCTAACACCTTTACTTGTATGTGTGTGCCCCTGTGCTACCTTCCAGGTGATTACTTTGGAAGGCTGGGTGGACATCATGTACTTTGTGATGGATGCTCACTCATTCTACAACTTCATCTACTTCATTCTCCTCATCATTGTAAGTCACATTGATGCTGTGTGTTGGTGTGTGTCTGCTTTTTGCTCAACAAGGTTAACTGATCAAGAAAAAAGATGGCTGTGTGTGAGTAAAGGGTTCTTCTTCCTCTTTTTGACCTCAGATCGGCTCGTTCTTCATGATCAACCTGTGCCTGGTGGTCATTGCTACCCAGTTTTCAGAGACCAAGCAGAGGGAGAGCCAGCTGATGAAGGAGCAGCGGGTGCGCTTTATGTCAAATGCCAGCACCCTGGCTTCCCTCTCCGAACCAGGCTCCTGCTACGATGAGTTGCTCAAATACCTCGTCCACATCATCCGAAAGGGGGCCAAGCAAGCTGCTCACGCCTGCAGGTTCTTGGCTCGTCGAGCGGGGCTTAACATTGCCAACTCACCACCACCCACTGAGCCCCAACGCAGCCAGAGCCAGAGGAGGAGGAGGAAGTCCTCCAGGCAGGGGTCGGTGTCGGTTCATCACATGGTGCACCATCACCACCAACACCACCACCACCACTACCACCTAGGGAATGGCAGTGTGAGGGATAAAGGGAGCATCAGGTGTCTGGATGGGAGGGACATTGAGGCTGGGGGGCATAGTAATAATGGCGGGGGTCCCAGAGCAACCACTGCCAGTGGATATCCTGCTTTGGCGCCACCATTTCTCATAACAGCAGCGACCTCTGACTCAAACCTCGCCACTTTGTCCGACGCTGCTGCAGAAGCTGCTGATTCACCTTCAGGTTGTAGTTCACTCAACGCACGATTCCCTCGCTGTAATCTCCCGCCCACCAACAGGGGAATGGCTCCGGTCACCTACTTGGCTCCAGCTCCCATGCCCAGAGCCATGAAAAGGAACTCTGTGCCATTTGCTGCTCCAGCTCCTAAGAACTACCCCACCCTTCAGGCCCGAGCGCTAGCAGAGTCCAGGAGAGGAAGTATTGCTGCCAGCACGCTGACAAACATCAGCTTTAACCTCAACATCCCAGCCATGCCTTTGGAGAGACGGCCATCGAGCCTCGTGGAGACACACATGGCAGCAGGTAGACGCTTGCACGCACACACACACACACACACACACACACACACAATGTTTGATGAGCTACAGTCTACATCGCCACCTATCTCGGCTGTGCTAACTGGAATTTGATTCCCAAAGAAAATGGAATACCAATTTCCAGATTTGAAAATCACTGTTAATAAATACAGCAGTTGAAATGATATAACACTAAATAATTCAGAATTAAACTGCAACACAAGTGTGTTTTATTTAAAACTACTGAAAGGGGACAACATTGATCCCCTCTAACTTGGATGGTTGGACGAGGACAGCCTGTAGGACACAATTCCTGTGAATCTCTGAAGGACAAAAAACATTTGGACAAAAGGGACTGAGGTGACAGCTCCTCCTTTAGATCTTAAACAGTTGGTTTTAAAAATCTTTTAATTCAAAAATGAAAGAATTGTTCTCATTCAGTGGTGGTAACGCTACTAAAAGGGATGAGACCATTTTGGAGGGTGTTTCTGTGTAAAAGGCCTAACTGAACAACCTCAGTTTACATCCTTAAGGTCTGATTGCTTCACCATTGCAGCTGCAGTCAAAACCAGAATTTCATAGCAAAATATGCAAACTAATTTTTTTAATCTTTTAACTACCATCAACTTCCCATTCAACACTGATTTCTTGGAATTCTATGGAAAACTGGAATGTAAATGTGATGGTGAAGGAATAACACTTGAATAACCATAGTGAGATTTTGGAGCTTGGAACAATCTTAAGGTGGCGCATGTCCAGTTGGGATGTGGATCCATTCAGATGATCATAATGAGATAAAAAGGATTTATTTTTCTATTTTTACACTCAGCCTGCACGAGAAACTCAGAGTGACCGATCGTCTTTCTCAGTGAACATTCGTTGTGCCAGAGCCTGAATCTCAGCCAAAGTTCCAAGCTTACGACTCATCTCGACAATTATATGAGTCTGTGCATTCACAGCGCGGTGTAATCCATCCCGGGAAAGAGCCAATATTCCTCGACAACTTGTTAATTTTCCGGTAAGTCAAGTAACCTCCCAGGCCAAAAAGCAGGGATCCCGACACCAACACCACGAATATCCATACGTCTTCAGAATCCTCTACAGACAGTTGAGATAAGCAGATCAGGTTCCACTGTTTCCAGAAGTCCATGATATTCCGAACTGGATCTGGCCCAGAGGGGCACCCGGGAGCCCCTTCTCACTTTCTCATCGTTGAGAAAATTTAGTCAATCGCATTGAGAGACCAGCTGACCAGGTCCATTTTTAATAATTTCCAGTTTCCAGAAAAAATGCAGAAGTGCCGTACACAAAGACAGACAAAGAGCCTTGGGGATAAGATAGGGATGAGAGGAGGAAAAAAGCATCTGTACTCTCCAAGAACCGGAAGAAGGTTGCAGGAAAGTATTCTTTCCCTTTCCTGGTCCTCTTTGTTGATTATTTGCTGGTCTTGGCCAACATGTTTGCAGAAAACAGTGTTTTTATGTGACAAAAGTCTTAATGGGCTAAGGAAAAAGTCCGGTGAGGTGAAGAAGTTGGTTGCTAAGCACCAGGGCCAAACCACTGCTGTATTTCTACAGCACACACTGCACAACCTCAAACACTCCCTCTAACTTACGCACAACCTACAGTAAGACAATTTTCATCATATTTAGGTGTTGGGTTGTTCCCTATCCCACTGATTTGACTGCTTCAGCCTCTCCGTCTGACCACTGTTTTCTCGCTGCAGCTCTGCTGTCCCGCCAGCTGTCAGCCCATGACCTCAGCACCACCAGCAGTGCCATGGATAAAGCTTCTCTCAATCTGGACCCTGAGGGCTGCCCTTACTGTGCCAAGGCCCTTGCCAACGAGTCTGAGGTGGGCACCGAGGGAAACGAGATGCCTGGCGATTCGGACAGCGACGGGGTTTACGAGATCAGCCAGGATCTCAGGGACAGGAGAGATAGCAGGCAGCCCAGGAAGAAGATCCGAAGGTTGGGCAAAACTGCCGCCAAGGCTGTGCACTTCTGGAGGCTGGTGTGTGACACCTTCAGGAAGATCGTGGACAGCAAGTACTTTGGAAGAGGAATTATGATCGCCATTCTGATCAACACTCTGAGCATGGGGATCGAGTACCACGAGCAGGTTAGTGTGTTCTGGATGGCTTGGCAGGAGCTGCTTTTGATAGGTGCTTCGCTGATGTAGCAGTGTGTGTCTGTCGTTCCATGTGAACAATACTGCTCTTGCAGGCCCAACTGGTTTTCCCGACTCTCTGGTCTCGCTTCTTAACACAAACCTAATTAAATCCACGAAACAGACACTAGGATGAGATGGTGTATGAGACAGAGGATGTAGAATGGAACGTGTCTCCCTGAGAGCTTCAACACCTGACAGAGATTTTCTTCCCTTTCCTGTTTTAGCAACACATTCTCACACCCTAAGCGTCGGAAACAAACGCTTGGTCAGCCCAAGTTGGTTTTAGTGTAGTTTAGTTCTTTGGTTCCTTCGTCCTTCATCTGAATCTCAGTGGATCATGAGAGGTGATGACCAGCTTTGTAAGGTGTAAACACCAGTGTTGGGAGTAACGCGGTACAAAAGTAATTAATTGCTGTAATGCATTGCTTTTTGCTGTAATGTGGTAATGTAAGGCGTTACAGGGAAAGAAAATGGTAATATTTACTCGGTACACACACAGGTGCTCACATGGTGCTCTCAAAAGTATGGGCTTGGGCATGTTAAACACAGGTCTTAAGACTATATGGTGGGCACTTAATGCACTGTGATATATTATCGTGATTCTTCAGTTAAGCAATGTTGATTATATATTTTTTTCATCAAGTTGACGCAGTGATAGCTAGATCTTGTTGTATTGTTGTTGTGTCCCTTTTTTGTCCTTTTGTTTTTGTTTTTTGTCTTTTTCTGTAGGTCTAGAAGCAGACTCTTGTTCATTGTTTATTTTTGTGAAACCCCCCCCCCCTCTTCTCTCCCCACCTTTTCCTTTCTCTTTCACCTCTGTCTCCGTGTCTGGTCGGAATTACAAAGCATTCGACAACAATAACAATAAAGTTTTAAGTATCAGGCGTGACATTAAAAGCAAACGCTTTGATGCTCCACCTGAGAATAAATCTGTAAGGCTTGTCACCAGCATTCAGACATCAATTCTGCTTGCTTCACAGCCAGACAGGACACGGTTAAAAAATTGCATAATACAGGTTAAAACACTCTTTAAGTTAACATACAAATCAAACAGTTAAAGAGACACAAGTTAAAAAAAATAATAATTTACTCGGTACAATTGTCAGTAATGCGGTAATTACAATACATTTTTAAACCCAGAATCAAAATGTGGGTTTCCTAAAAATTCAAATTGCGGGAAGCCTGAAAAAAGATCCAGTATCCACATATATGACGTCATTTATGGACTAAGCTTTGCGGCCATTCTATGAGCAGAGAGGACGCAGCGGTAATGGCTCAAATACTCCAGCTGCGTCCTGCGCACGGCCGCTGTTATATTCACAAAATCGCTCCACCAAAACAAAGTCATTTGTTTGCGATAGTTTATATCAGCCCATATTCTCTGGTACTTCCTGTACTTTTCAGCTGAGTTCGTAATCTGTGCCCCGGTGATTTCAACTCATTGCTGCTGGAGCGCAGCGCATATTAAGCTTTTTTTTTCTTTCTTTTTTTTTTTTGCGTTCGGTAGATCCCTTTGGCTGATTAGTTAGAAAGTAGGAAATCTAGGAAACAGTTTTTTCTGGAAGACGGAGGAAACATGCAGCATGCAGGAAGGTTAGAGAGAGAAAGGGCAGGAAATTATTCAAATAAAATCAAGAAAAAAAGTAGGTAGATTTCTCCCCAATACACATTTTTACCAGTGAAAAGTAATAATATATTAGCATTTAATATTTATACATGTGATAGAATCAGATCACCCCAGAAGTCAGTCCCACATCCAGGGCCGTATCAAGGCATTTGGGGACCAAGGCAAATATAGGCTTGGAGCCCCCACCACCTCACTCCCTGCTCAGCTAATATAAGATGGCAGCGTGCTGAGAGTACAGATTGTTGTTGCTTTTATTTAGTAAACAATCATTTTAAAGCACTGTTATTATATCTGACTGTTTTTAACAGCAATCCTAGCTCAGACACAACATCACTTTCCACATATATGTCATGAGCTCACTGAGCGTCAGATTACCAGATTCACACTGAAGTTGTTTTGGTGAAAGTAACTTAAAGTAATGCAAAAGTAGTGTAATGCCTTACGTTTTAAAACCAGTAATATTGTTATGTAATGAATTGCTTTAAAATGAGGGTATTAAGTAATAAATAATGCATTACAGTTTTGAAGTAACTTGCCCAACACTGGTAAACACACACAGTAAGGTGAGGGGACCAGACGAGTATGAGGGCCAAAACCACAGATGTGAGACCTGAATCCTCTTTGCACCTCTGTCCAAACACGTTTTTTCTCTTTCTGTGGGAAGTAGACTTCTCAAATGTCAGTTTTTCTGCCTCTGTGTGCGTGTGGAGCTCTTCATGACTGCAGCAGACAGAACGAAACCAGCACTGGTGCCACCTTTACCAATTATTCTACTCTATCTTGATCCTGTTGCCAACAGAATCCATGGCCCTATCAGAATAGCAGAATTAGATAATACAATAGGAATCATGTAAAATGCGTAAAGTCTAATTACTGTGATCTGGTGAGAAGAGATGTGCTGCAGGGAAATCCCACAACAACGCATCAGCAGAAACATTTTGTTGTCATAAAGCAACGCCTGTGTAGGCTAAATCAGCCTCCTCCTTGGTCAGACTGGACGGATAACTGGAAGCTTCCTGATTAACCTTTGAGAAAAAGAAGAAAGAAGTGAAACAACAAACAGCAGCTTTATCGTTATCATCTGAAGGTTATAAAAGGACACAACACAAAAGGTTCACACTAAACTTCAGGGATTAAACATGAGATGTGTGATTTTCATGTTTAAATGCTTATTTGACAAAAACAAAGAATGGCTTCTGTAACGGCGGGTTTGAACCTCCCCCTAATAGCCGCCTCAGATGTTGACCGATGACGTCACCACGACTTGGGGGTGAAAGCTGGCGCTGGCTTTGCTGCAGCCTCACGTTCCTCAGCGTGCTACAGGCCAGCTGTGGCTATGTGTAGCTAATCACCACCAGGGGTGAATGACTGAGTTCCCGTTGCGTTGGTGTCCTTGAACTTGATTATTTCCCATGAATGCAAACAGCATGAGTTTTGAAGATACAAATACATAATTCAGGGCATTACCAATGATTTTAGTCCACTTGTCATGCATGTATCTGCTAATAAGCAGAATAGTCATTGAAACCCAGTTCCCGTGTATGTTCTGTCCTTATGGTGAGGTTTATAAAGGGCATTAAAGCGTTTGCCAGCTGCAGGTTTGGGACATTTGCTTCTGTTGGGTTGTGTTTTTGGCTTGAGTGATCTGCCGTGAAGTTACATAACATGAGTGAAGGAAGCAGCACAAGTTAGTGTTTGTTTGCACGTGTAGGTGTGCAGCGGGAGATTGGCGTGAGGCCAGACTTAACGGGGGATACTTTTGGTCCCTGACCCGGTGCCTATAAACAAATCCAGATGCCAGGAAGCTTAAGCATACGAGTGGAAACACAGGTTTTATAGCTTCTCACATTTTTGTTTTTATTCCACTTTTTCTTTTTCTCTACCTACAAAACTTGGTTCTTTCATTTTTTATGATTTTTTCTCTAACAATTAAATGTCTCTTTCTTCTCATCTGTTCTTTTCTCTTGATAACTAAAGTGTGGACACAAGTCTATGTTTGGGTACCGCAGATCCCTCCTGTCTCCAGACAGGCTGCTGAGATATTGAGTGAGACACTTCATCGATCCCAAGCCCATCGACATCCAATAGACACAAAGATGGCTAAGCTTGAGAGGCCCGAGTGACTCTCCTCACACCCCCGGCCCAGTCTACAGGAATGCTCATGTGGATGTTGAAATTCTGCTGAAATTCAACATCCAGCATAAAATAGATGCTTATTTTATATTACATTACATACCAGGAGGCTGTGGGCTCAATTAGGATTTAGTGACAGCCTACCTAGATGATTGATCTCCTCAACTAACCAGCTACCTAAAAACCTTTTGTCATGGATTTTATCAAAATGTTTATCAATAACCCATTTCCCTGTAGTCAGAGAGAAAAAGGAGACAATGAACAGACAAGTCAAACAGTTATCACTGCACAATGCACGAGGCAAAATGCCCCGAAAATCCGGTCACAGAGTTTATTTATAGAAGTACAATATTTCATATATGTGTTCCAGGTATAGGATTCCTTTATTTTTCCAGTCCGGAAGGTTCATCATTTTACTATTTTGCAAAATATCAGGATTATTCCAGATAGGTGTGTGTCTGCATGGTATTAGTGAAGATACATTTTAAGATACTCCCACCATGCTGTCAGAGAGGTGCTGATACTAATACTTTTGAAGCCTTCATGTTTTCTTATGCTTGAGCTAATAAATGGTAAGTCTGAAAGCTCTATCGTATTGCAAAGTGTCTGTTCTATGTCTAACCAAGACTCATCTAGTGGGTTATCTTGCAACCATCTTGGTATATATTGCAGCCTGTTGGCTAAGAAATAATAATAAAAGTTGGGTAAATCCAGTCCTCCTTTGTCTTAGGTCTCCTGAAGCATTTTTAAGCTAATTCGTTGAGGTTTATCCTGCCAAAGGAATTTAGTAATTGAAGAGTCCAGAGATCTAAACCAGTCAGCTGGTGGTTTGTTTGGGATAATTGAAAATAAGTTATTTATTCTAGGTAAGACCATCATTTTAATTGTAGCAACTCTCCCCATGAGTGATATAGGTAAGGATTTCCATCTTGCAAGATCATCTTCCACTTTCCTTAAAAGTGGGATGTAGTTTAGTTTGGTTAGATCTGCTAACTTGGGAGAGACATTAATTCCCAGGTATGTGATATTCCCTGACTCCAATTGTGTAATAAGTAAATTGACAAAAGAGAAATTAATTGGTAGAACTGTGGATTTTAACCAGTTTATAGAGTAATCTGAAACTTTTGATAAAGAGTTTATCAGTTCTATTGAATGGGAGAGAGAGAATTGAGAATTCTGGAGAAAGAGT